ACCTTACGTCTTCATGGCGTGGAGCTTAATTAATTAAGCCCTGGGATAATCTGACCTTAACTTTTACTGTAACAACTACCCCCTCCTTTCTCTAGGTTGCGGACTGGAGCCAGTTTACGTGCGACTCTACTGTCGAATGGAACAGAAAACCAGATGTTGAGGGTAGCCATATACGAGTACATCAGTTGTCGACAGCCGACCTGGGTGGCATCCTGAAGCTTTGGGTGGGACGAGGGGCTTACACTCTCGTGTTGCAATAAAACTCGCATGTTAATGAGGTGGAAGCTCGGAATTTGACTAACGATGAAACCACAGTAAAACTAACAAATTTGTTGGATGACACAGAAAAGCACTAAAAAACACATCGATCCTACGTTCCCATTGCCCGATCGTCGTAAAACAATGCTCATTGTGGCCTTCTCCGCCAGCTTATTGGCCATTCCGCTTTCAGTCAGTAATGATTTCTTCAGGTACTGTACTTCTTAGTGGAGCAGTGACATAAAAATTCTTTACTTATATGCAAGACATAATCACGTCTTATTAACGTCTCACATCTTGCAGAACAAGAACGCATTTCTGGATACGTTTATTTCTTTTATTGCATCAGATGGTCATCAGAAAGACAAAGATACCATAACCTATTATAACAGTGACTCAAATACCTTACGTTGTACATGACTGCAGTATGTTGGAAGCCCTTTAAAGAACAACCTCAGAAAGTCTCGACAAGCATGAGAGGCTCATTAAGCGCTGAAAGACTGGTTTCTGACTTAAATCGCAAATACGCAAACACGGCGACAGCTGTGCTGTTGCAAAGTGTATGGGCTAAATAGCTTGAGGTTGTCGCTTTGCTCTTCTTTGTATACTAAGGAGATACTATGGAGGATATAGGAGTGCATCCATGAACTCTAGAAGCCGGCTTGTCTTTCAGCCTAAGTAATTAGGAAGGTATTATAAACTTACTTTTCAAGCGTAGTATACGAAACCAGAAACCATTTAAAGATATACTGACTCACTTAAGGCCGCGCCATAGCTCAAGCGGTTAGTCGCTGGCTTCCCACCGAGGCGGCCCGGGTTCGATCCCGGGGTCTGGTCAAGTGGGATTTGTGGTGGATAAAGTGGCGCTGGGGTAGGTTTTCTCCGAGTACTTCGGTTTCCCCTGTCAATCTTCATTCCAACAATTGCTTCACAATCACCCTCACCTATCATCTTGGGCTGGTACAATAGGCCAGAAGTGGCCGCAGTGCAAAGGACTTAGTCCCACCCCACTAGCAACAAAAAAAATACTGACTCACTGCTAAATTGCTCCTGGCTCTCTCTAGCACACTGAGTCTTGCTTCCGTGTCTCACGGGACTCATAGCCATGTTTTACTCCCTGACGGTTCTGGGAGACTTCAGTTCCTCCCATATCTCAAGATATAGCTTCTGAATACTGTATATAAATTAGGTTCGTACTCCAGAGGAAACACATTACTTCTCCACTGTAAACATCGGCCGGTTAATACCGTTTAGGGAAACAGTCGCTGTTTGTTGTGCTAACATTACGAACCACACAAATACACCCCGTGTGCAGAATGCTTAAGCTTTCGTGTGTTAAAGCACGGGGTATATGTAATATGCACTGAGCCTTAAACTTTTAAAATTGGGACTCATATCTGTGAAATCCTAGAAAATTTAGTCTATTTTTGTGTATGTTCATTTCATATGGACGCTCATGGTGGCCTCGCGGTCTAACGCATGAACTACCTTCGCTTGCTCGAAAGCTGGGACCGTGAATTCGAATCTCATTTAAGACACTGATGTCTGTGTTTGTGTTGTCCTGTACGTAGGCAGCTGCCTTGCGACGGGCTGATCACTCGTCCAAGGAGTTCTACCGACTATGAAAAAAAGATTACGAGAAAGAAGAAGAGGCCAGGGCCCTACAAAGGTCCATAGAACCATTGATGAATGAAAATGAAATAATTCACGCGAGTTCATTATTGTTCCCTAAAACTGTACCTTTGCTTACTGCTCGGTACTAAGAACATTAAAAAGAATTCTAATTCTAAAGAATNTTCTATATCTTACATGTACTGTGGATCTATGGAACTTAAATAAATAATTAAATAAATTAAAAAAAGAAAAGTAAAAGTAAAGCTATCCCTGTAAGAGGCCGTGAAGGCCCATAGGGTTGTAAGACGTTAAGGGTCCCACATTACCTTGACAATCGGCTCGTAGATGGCGGTAAGGTTGTTAGCCTTACGCGCCGGCCGCGCTTTACTCCCCAGGAAAATCATTTAATTGAATTAATTTAATGCGTAGTTTAATGGCGTGGAGATTGTGAGAGGTGTTTTCTTGAACGTTTTCTACAAACTATTCTGATCCAGGAAGCAATTCCAAACTACTTTGCAGATTTCGTTAGGATTGCGAGAATAAATATACCACTTTCTGTAATTTGATACCCCAAAGCAGCCTCTGGGCAAGTTACTAGGAGAGCCCTTCCCGGTGTCCGTGCGGTCTTAGTCCAAACAAACTTCAAATACTGAACTAGGTCCATAATATTTCCTCTTCATTTGTTAATTTATTTTACTAAATCAATTAATTTATGTCAAAGACACGAATAAATTTCAGCCACCTTCCGCATAATTGGGATGAGGGCAATGTTGGTCTTGTATTGCTCATTGGTTTAGTGTGCATTTTCACAACCTCGCTGAGTCCATTAATTACAATATATACTATGTGTAAGGGATCATGTGTAAAACTGAAATTAGACAAGAACTGTCATTCAATTAAGTTGTTTCATAAATTTCCAGTCCTATGTAGGCCTATGCAGATACACAAGGATTTACAGTGTCTGAAGTTATCAAAAATTGCATCAATTTTGAAACAAAAAATACTGAATTGACTGAACAGAAAATAGAGAAACAACGTCAGTATTTACTAACATGTCCGGCCTTGTAATTAAAGACTGACTTATCTGTACAGAAGTGTAAGCTAACAGACTGATCACTTTTTTGTAGCTGTACACATGCCCATGGATAGTGCACATGTAGGGACTGACTGACAATGGAAGATGTTATAGGTTCTGTGAAATTATTAGTACTTCGTGTTAAGCATAACCGTACTCAGTCTAATGTTACTGTCATTAGCAAATTAGTCAGAGTTATTGCAATATATATATTGTTTCCTTTTAATTCTTTTTAATTTCTTTTAATTATGATATCTCATTATGTGTCCTGCGACTGCGCTAATGGAAGGTATTCTGTTTTACCGGTTACAATTTTTTGTTTATACATTCGTAAACTCGAAGTGTATAAATCGAGAAAAATGGAAGTATCGGACCATTTGGGCGATCTAAGCATAGATTGGAGGGCAACTTACAAATGTTTCTTATAGGATTAAGATATGAGAGTGCAGGTTGGACCCAAATGTCTCAGACAGGTTATGGTTTCGGGTTCTTGTGAACGTGACAACATAAAAGGCGAAGAAATCACACAAACTACGTTATATATTTATAGTGTTCTTTTAGCCCATAAATGTATTGTATTAATGAACTGTATCCGTTTTGTAATACACAGCATTCACCTTTAAATTTCACTTATTTTCTTAATGGCTCCTCCAGTCCATTCAGGGCCCAGGCCTCTTATTTTGAGTTCCGTAGCATCTTCTTTACAGACGGTAGAACTTCTTGGGCGAGTGATTAGCCCGTCTAAAGGCCGCTACCTAAACACAGGACAACACAAACACACACACACCAAATATCCGTGCCCTAAGTGGGATTCGAACCCATGATCCCAGCCTCCGAGCGAGGGGAGACAGTTCCTGACTTAGACCACGCGGCTAATGTCTCCGGCTTAAATTTTATTATTAAACTTAAATATTTCGAAGTCCGCGCCATAGCTTAAGCGGTTAGTCGCTGGCTTCCCATCGCGGCGGCCCTGGTTCGATCCCGGGTCTGGTCTAGTGGAATTTGTGGTGGACAAAGTGGCGCTGGGGCGGGTTTTTTCGAGTACTTCGGTTTCACCTGCCAATCTTCATTCCACCAAATTCTCCATCACCATAATCACCCGGGGTAAGTACAATAGGCCAATCAGTGGCCGCCGTGCCGAGTGGACACAGCTGGACTCCACCCCCCACTGAAAGAATAAATATTTCGAAATTTCAGAGAGGCGCATTTATTAATACATATACTTATATAGTATAATCTTGTGGGATCCGATATGATTTATTGCTCTTGTACTTTTAGTCATTTGTATAAATATTTATTATTACTTGCATAGCAGTGTCATTTTATTACGTCCTTGTTTTGATACCTGATGATGACTGCTTTGCGGCAAAATGATGTAGTGTGCGACAAAAATAAAATCAGGAAGTTCAAATGTAGTTTGCGTGACGTCTAATCGCAACACATTGAATGGTGTTCACAAAGAGGATTCAGTCTTATATATAAAGACATTTCTAATATTATGCAAGAAGTTATAATGTTAGTTTATATACATGACTTTAACAAGCAACTAATGAAATCGTCAAATGAACAATTTTGGATGGATACAAGTCAGTACGGGCTCGACAGCTCGTGAAGAGAACCTCACTCGCCTGTTACGCATACAAGTAAACCCCTCTTCTTCAGCGATTTCTCTCGCTGCTGCTTTGTATTAGCTGTATGTTGTGGACAATGCCATTTTTAAAAGTAATTAATGTCAAGATTCAATCCCACAATGCAAGGGTCGATACTTGCTCAGGTGGTCACGAAATACTCTCCCCCAGAAACGCCAGCATGCTTTATTATGAGATCAAATTTAAAATCCAACTATTAATATCAATAACTTTAATTTCGTTATGGGAGCAAAATTTATGCCAATTATTATACACAATCCTCAGCTCTTACAACACGTTGTGAAAAGAAAAATGTGGACTTTAGGATATGACTAGAAGGCCAGAATCTTAATTTTCATGACCATGAAAACCCCCAGATCTCAACATTATAAATAATTTGTGTTGTTTGATTTTTCTACATTTCAGTACGGGCCGTGATGAAAACCAAGCGCCAACGACGCACTGAATCCTGCGAATCGGATTCGCCGACCGCTACGTCATTGTCATCCAGAGGCACCGTGGCCGACATCTCAAGTAATCATAACCAGACTAAGTGGATAAAGTTTTTGGAGGAACTTACTGTGGACAGCATCCGAGGAGTTATCTGAAGAGTCTTAAAAAAAAGAGTTCAAATGTAATTGAATCTCAGCCGGAAAATACATTCTTTTCTTTTGTACAAGACAGTGAAGTGTCTATTACGTCGTGATAATGGATATAACGGAAACCTTCAGAGGCGAAGACATTTCTAAAACAGATTTCTTTGATTTCGTCGTAACCCCTGATATTGGAGAACATCAACAACAGACGTTGCACTTCAACCGAACACTAAAATCAATGGGCATCTTTATCGAAAGCGCTGGTGCCAACAGTGGCAGCAACAGCAACGACACGGGAACATCGACTTATCAAGACATAAAAGAAACAAACAACAACCACCTTATGATGACGACAACGACGGCTTCATCAGGCCTACCACCTTCGGAACACAGCTTGGGCAACTTTGGCGATCATTCTTTCTGGACATCCTCCTCGTGCGAGAAAGAAGCCGCAAGACTCGAGACTGCTATGTTGGAGGACTTGAATGAGTTCTGCTGGAGCCAAGATTCAACAGAAACGGCATCCCCAAACAGTAATGGCGGTCCCTGCCATAAAGTAGGACACACCAATAACACCCATAACAACACAGACGGTGCAATATATACGTTGACCGTACTGAATGGCGGCGATCATAGCGCCACCTGGTATCGGACACCGGAAGCTCCTACAGGCCTCAAGGATGATGATGAGAGCCACCAGCAATCACTGTCCTCTCCTCATATGGACTGCCGGCAAATAAATTCTCACAATAATCAACAGAACCATTCCTCAGCCCTTGATCTTGATTCAATTCTAAGTATTATACCTCCTAACCAACACACAACATCAACACCCACATCAAGCGGACATCAATTCCACCAAAATGGTTACCACCAAACCCATGCACATCCCTCAAACCATCTGCACCAGACTAACAATTCGGCAGTAACTTTAAGTCCACATCATCACACAATTAGCCAAGATGGTCTTGTAAAATCTGAACAACAGTATGCGTATGAAGAGAGTGGGTATGCTAACAAAGATTGCATCAGTCACATCGTGGATGGTCAATCAGTTATCCAGCAGGAAGCTGGTGGCGGCGATTCTAATGCTGGCTTCAACAACAATAACAATGACTGGAAACTGACGAACAACAATACCAACAGCACTGCAGATTCGTTGTTACGAAGTGCCTTGCAAGGGAAAAGTTTTCTTGGTCGTTACAATGGCACAAGTCCAAAGAATGGGAAAGCAATGGAAGGGCACATTGAGCTTAGGCGGGTCTTGTCTACACCTCCCAACGGAGTGAAAACACCAATGGAACATTCTCCTGTGTTTATCACCAGTGATATCACAGATGACTGTAGTGGGGGCGATCAGAAGCCATCACCAATGATGACTGTGACAATGGAGGGAAATGCTGTGGTCATGTTTGATGGTGGGGGTGGAACCAGAGGCCTAGGGCTGACAGATACTGATAATCCTTCCTCAGCACACAGTATGGACGATATTCTGCTGTCACAACTAGATGCAGCATCATATCCGGAGGATTATGAGAAACTCAAATGTATTGCCAACGAGGTTGCAGAATCCGTGAAACAATACTGCAGCCTGGATCAAAACAGCATAGCAAGTCCAACCCAACACACACCATCTGGAATCTACATTTCCACACATCTCGCTTCAACTGAAAACTTAGTACCAAGTTCCATATTGTCTTCAACCCATCACCATCATCACCACCACCACCACGCAAATCTTTCGCCAATTCTCTCCACTTCACAATCCACAACGAAAAGTAATGTTGGGAAGAAATATACAAAGAAGCAGGGTGTAGGTGGTGGGAGTGGAAGCACCAAGGCAACACACAGCAGTCACCAGATGCAGAACAATGGTGTGCGCAAGGAGAGGTCCCTGCATTACTGCAATATCTGCAGTAAGGGCTTCAAGGATAAGTACTCAGTAAATGTACACATTCGCACACACACAGGTGAGAAGCCCTTCGCATGTTCTTTATGTGGCAAGAGCTTCAGGCAAAAGGCACACCTTGCCAAACACTACCAAACCCACATGGCACAGAAGAACTCTGCAACCAACAGCAATGGTGTAGCAAAACCAGGGGGTAATAAAGGAAGGTATAGTAGTGCAAAGTCTTCATCATGATTGTCATTAGATTCTTCACAAGGAATGCTTCTAAAAAAGAAAGAAGCAAATATGATGACAGTTGCAGCACACGTAGCTGAATGGTTCAATCCAGGGACTCACATCATTAGAAATAAATATGGTTGGAGGATTATGAAATACATGTTTTCCACAATTGAGGAAAAAGTGGTATGTGCTCTAGTAGTTATATACAGTGTTTCATTAGCAGCCATTAAAACTTATATTGTTGTTTCCATTGACGTTTTTCTTCTCTGTATTGTGAGGAATTACTGACAACATACAACCACACAAATGTATATTCACTGTATTAGTCCTTAATGAATATCATGTTTTCCACCAGGGTAATAACAATTCAGCATTTAAAAGAAATTTTGCATAGCGAATAGCTACTAAAATGATATTGAAGTATTTGGTGTACTGTTGACTAAAGCTTAACATTTCAAATATTAAAAGTTTACAATATTATATTTGAGCATCCCGTTACACTCGCACAATATATATAAGATAAACACCGTCTTAAGTGTAACAATTTTATTGTAGTTCTTTCTTCTTTCCCCTCACTCCACACTACATGTTTCGGCCCTAAATGGCCATCATCAGGTGTGTATTCTTACGTAGCTGTTACACTGCCTGTTAAAATTTAAAATCACCAGTCTTTCTAATTGTATAAACGGTTTGTTAACCTACACGCGTTAATTTTGATTTCTATTTAGCACTTTATTTTTAAAAATAAATAGAAATAGAAATCAAAATTAACGTGTGTAGGTTAACAAACAGTTTATACAATTAGAAAGACTAGTGATTTTAAATTTTAACAGGCAGTGTAACAGCTACGTAAGAATACACACCTGATGATGGCCATTTAGGGCCGAAACATGTAGTGTGGAGTGAGGGGAAAGAAGAAAGAACTACAATAAAATTGTTACACTTAAGACGGTGTTTATCTTATATATATTAAAAGTTTAAACTGAACCATGCATGACTGAGGCTTATGCAAAAGCAGCAAATTATATCATCCATGATTCAGTCAAAAAGTGAAATAGAGGAATGAATTTAACCCAAAAATAGTTCTCAGTGCAATAATAGCATAATGCAATCAATATAAAACATAATTATTTCATCAGCAATAGTTATGGGTTAATTCAGAAACATTCATATTCATAATATAAAGTTTAATGTATTATATCTGACAATAAAATACAATTCATTGCTGTGAGAACTAGATACAAAACTTACATACTCACTATCACATATCCTATGTGATTGTGAGGCCATAGCTTACTTAAGATTTTGTCACCTGGGTCAGTTCTTCGTGGAACAAAGTGACTTTTATGGCACCCCCATAAATAAAGTCCTACATTTCATTCGAAGTGTACGGCTAATAAAGGGTTAATCCAAAGGGGAAGCACCATAGATCATTGACGGTCGCAGTGCAATGGCCGGATTTTATGGCCCACCCCTTACACACAAACACACATACATACTCATTAGTAACATAAAGGTATTATTTACATAATGATTGACCATAATCTGACAGATTATATCTCTGTGATAGACACAGGATATTAAAGTTGATTGCCAGACAGTAAATGTGCAATTGATGCAGTTCATGACATCTGTTGCAACTTCATTTTGTACTACATATAAAATCATAGTAATTATTACTCCATAAACTGAAAATATACAACAATTAAAATTTGCACTCTTTTGCTGTGATAAGGGTGCTAATACTTCTAAGTAGTTGGCAGCAATATATTACAGAACTTTTCTGAATTCTTTTCCTACAGCCACACTCAGAGGTAATCCTAAAAGTCGAGCCATGGTGCTCTGAAATTTGTGGCACTGCTCAGAAAAGTAAATTTGAAAAAGAAAGTAACTTGGCAGAATATACTTTTCTTTCAATAGTACCTGCAGATCGAGTGTACTTTAGATAAACATTTACACAAACAAATCCATGAACAGCTTATATCATATTAACTTTCTGCCACAATGCCCAATTAATTGACAGATTGAAACCTGGATGTATTACTACATCGTCTTCTGATCTCCCATGAAAGTATGATGTCATAAATTCTCTTCAGAACAGATTACTCACATTATCTGTAAATCTTCATTTATACTGTTATATCAGTACTCTACATAGCTTCTAAAAATATTATAAGGAAATATTAGGAGGAGATTTGGGGTAACTACATGCAATGACAAATTATGAAGACTGAAAACTGTAATGCCTCTAAACAAATATATCAACAAAAGGAGCATCTAATTGTAACACAAATGGATCTTATGCCCAGAGCTGCCAACTTAAACATGTACCTTAGCTCCATAATTCCTTTAATAGTGGCCTTTCTATTTGGTGTATCAAATTGTTTAAAATTGCAATAATCCAGCTGCCCTTATCAACTGAGGTTAGCTTACTGGGCAGGTGTACCCAACATGTGAGTAGTTTTCATATGCAAAATGTAACTAAAAGAATCTCAAGATTGTATTACCTTATAGAAATGTATTACTCACTCAGAAAATTTGTTCCTATGCTTTGTTGTAAATTTATTTTTTGCGCTGTGATTTGTTCTTTACCAGATCATAAATCATTTGAGAGTAATATATATTATTGTAATAGATATGTTATTGTTTATATTATTATTAAAATAAATATTGTGTCCTTTCAAATTCTATTTTGGCCTTGATAAAAAAGAAATCATCTTGCCTTTCATACATCTTATTAGCATAACAATGTATAATTTATACATAGCCATGCACTAACTGAGAGGTATGAAATGTCCTATTACATGTTATTTAATTTTATATATGTATACATTTTATATTAAGGAACTGCCCCTTTAAAATACTCAACATGGCACCTCTGCATAAATCAATAAGCATTGACCATGATACCTTCTCATTGATTACCACTTATATTAAGAAGTACAGGCCAAATTGTGTTGCCAATAAGTATTCCATTATTTTTAATGCTGATACAGGTGTTAATAAATGTACTCAATATTTTGACAGAAATATATATATTATGTATAGAGAGAGAAAGAAAGAGAAAATATTTTTATTTATATGTTTTGTTAAACTATATTAGAATTAGGTATTCGGATTTTATTATGATTTTTATTTACTGTAGTATTAAAAATGAAAAACTGTAATATATTATAACTGACTGAAATATTAGAGTAATATACATATGTGGTTTTTATTGGATGAATAATTTTGCAACGAACATTATTGCTATAAATTAGTTTTCCTACCAATTCCTTTCCTGTATATGCTACAAACAGATGCACACCATTCTTTATTTGGGAGCAGTGTGCCTATCTCTCATCACCGTACAATGCTAGATACATGCTCAGGGTGACGCTCTGCCACCACACACAAACGAAATTTGACGCTATATAATCAATCACTTATTGCGAGCATTGTGATATTGCTCACAAATAGAACACACGTATAATTTTTTATCTGTTTAAATCAATCAAATATTAAAATATTGACATTGACTTTATTTTCAATCCAAGTAAGTGATTCTCATGTGTGAGAATTCAGTAAAAATGTATTATTTTATTTATTATAAATTATGGAAATATGTACCCAGAAGAAACAGAATAATTTGATGACATTTGTTTAAATACATAAGACTTCCAGACTTCTTAAAATTTGAATCTAGAAATATATGTCTCTCAATGAGTGGAAGAATAAATGACTTCAGTATTACTGCAAACAGCGAATATTGAACTGTCAGGGGTTACAAGACATTCTTCTATATCTTCTGCAAGATCATCTCCCACTTGCTTTTCATTATAGGGGGAAAGAGGTTTTACTCAGTATGCAATATCAACACTCTCAGAATATCCCATTTCATACAGTAACGCATTTCGCTCACCTTCTAATTGTCATCATGATCTAAAGCAATGAATACATTGAATACATCCTGGAACATCAATTTTGGCACCTTAGTTGCTACCATAGTTATAGCAGTGTCCTTTCAGTTTCTTTTGAAGAAGCTATATCATTCAATATCACAAGCGTTTTACATTTGTGTGAAAGAGAATCTAAATGTAAAGACAATTTCTTTAGTAAAGAAGGTAATGTTATCCCTGTAAAAGGCCATGGAAGCCCTATGGTTCTGAGGCGTTGAGACTCCCACATTACCTGGGCTATCTGCTTATAGATGGTGGTGTGGTTGTCAGCCTTATGCTCAGACCGCCCTTTACTCTCTGCAAGATTCCTGGTACTAATTTTTTTTTTTTAGAGGCTGAGTTGACCCCAAAGCAACAGTGCTGCTGGAAGCAGTAGTAGTAGTAGTAGTAGTAGTAGTAGTAGTAGTAGTAGTAGTAGTAGTAGTAGTAACCATCCTAAATCATGCCTCTGTTGCATGTGTATCCTCTTTCAGTTTCCTGAGGCTGATGGAACTGTATATTCCAAACCTGCACATGATATGAACAAGAGATATCACTTAGAGGTAAGTCCTATTTTTTCTATATTTTTCAACAAATGTTATGGTTTAGTGATTAGCACTCCTGCTTCATATTGTGGATAGTCCATGCTCTCGTTGGTGTCTCCACCTTATCGTGGTGAGGGGGTTTGAGTATGCCAAGGACCCTGAGAGCTATACCAGCGGTAGCGTAGCTACTGGCAGGGCCTCCGTTGCTGGACAGGTCAAAGGGTAGGCATCAGACGAAGAGAGACACCAAAAACTGATGCCGGAAGCAGCATCATCAGTAGCGACTTGAAGCACAGAGCAAATGATGCTCGAGATGGTTCAAGTTCGTATAGCAGCAGGCGTGACCAGAGTGGTTTGACGGCTGCTGTACTGCGATGTGGAAAGCAAATGGAAAAACTACCACATTATCACTTTTCCTGGATAGTCTCTTTCCAAAAACAGAGATACCATATATGCGAGATGTTTCCTCTGGAGGCAAAACAATCCGGAGGTAAACTACTCCCCCAATCGGATCTCCGGGGGGGAGTGTTTCTAGAGGAAATGTCATGCAGGCGTTACAACAAGAAAAAGTGCGAAGATCAGAAGAAACAGCATGGATACAAGATTGGAACATGGAATGTCAGGACCTTGAATCAAGCAGGAAAATTGGAGAATTTGAAAACGGAAATGCAGAAGAATGAAGTGTCTGTGCTAGGTGTCAGCGAAGTGCGGTGGAAAGGACAAGGTGAAATAAGAAGCGGTGATTATACAGTGTATTATTCCGGAGGTGAACGGGCTGAAAGAGGTGTGGCAATAGTGGTGCATAAAAGTGTAGTGAGGAGTGTTGTTAAGAAGATTGCTTGTAATGACAGAATTATTGCTCTGAAGTTAAAGGCAGAACCGGTAGATATACTGATTATACAAGTGTACATGCCAACATCAGAGTATGAAGACGATGAAGTGGAAAAAGTGTATGACACAATTGAAGAAATTCTTCAGGAAGATGGAAGAGGAGACACAAACAGCATCATATTGGGAGACTGGAACAGCATTGTTGGAGATGAACCATATCAGAATATTGT